GAGCGGCGGGAGGCAGGGCGCACCCAAACCAGCGGAGGCCACGCTGGGGAACAGGAAGAGGCGTGGGGGGGAGATCAGAGACACCCCCCTCCAGGGGACAGGCCCCCAAGGTCTTCCTCCCCCTCCTCTCCTCTGCCCTCAGCTGATCCCCCGGCTCTGAGTCCTTCTCACAAGAGCATCTGGGGTCCGGGGCATTGGTCCTTCCCGCCTCTCTTCAAGGGACCTTCCTGGCTCTGCCCCTTGGGTTCAAGCAGGGTCTTGGGGTCACCACCACCCTCCCCAATGCTTGGGGACCCTCCCCTCCAGTGTGGCCTTAGCAGAAGGCAGCCGTGGGGACGGGGCTCTGGGGTCCAGTACTACTTGGGAAGAGACGATGGACAGAAGCCACCGTTTCTGAGCCAGCAACCGGTGGCTCCCAGCTGGAGTCCTAGCTTCTCAGGAGACCTGAGGCTGCAGGTTCCAGCCTCTGTAGGACTCTTTATCTCCAAGTCTGTGAGGCTTGGAGACTGTGAGACTCTTGTCTCTGATGAACCAGCAAAAAGCCCAAAGTGGAGATGTGGTTCAGGTGGTAGAACACCAGCCAGGAGAGAACATGAGTCCCTTGAGTTCAAGCTCCAGTACCAGCACACAGAATCCCGAACACCTGGCATGCTGGCGGGGGAGGGGGAGCATTCTCAGCAGGAGACCATTGGGAAGGGAAACTGAGTGTGTGTGTGAGAGAGGGGGGGGGGAGGAAGGGCCGGGGAGAGGGATGAGAATAATGATTATTTTCCTGGGGTTCTCTCAGGCCTCTCCCTCAGATTTATATGAAAAATAAGATTTCTTCTTTTCTTTGGTCATGGGTCCTGAACTCTGGGCCTGGGCTCTGTCCCTCAGCTCTTCAGCTCAAGGCCAGCACTGTACCACTTGAGCCACAGTGCCACTTCTGGCTTTTTCTGCTTATGTGATACTGAGGAACCGAACCCTGGGCCTCACGCATGCAAGGCAAGAATTCTACCAATGAGCCACCCTCCCGGCCATAAAAAGTAGGATTTCTTTACCAGGCAGTGTTCTAAGGAAATTACAAGGGCTGAGACCAGTTCTGAGCACGCACGCATTTTGTTCCCGGTGACTCGGTTGGCAGCATGGAGCACAGGCGTGGGCTGTGAGCAGAGCTAGGAGGAGCACAAGAAAGCGGGCTCACAGGTTCCCCCTGGCCACGGGGCCGGCGGCAGAGCAAGTGCCCATGGCCAAGGACACATTGTCCTGACAGCTGCCACCAACGTCTGGGAGACTCCTCTCCCCCATCACATCACTCCCCCCTCCCCTGTTCACAAAGGAGGGGGGGATGAACTGCTCAGGCCTGTGGGGGGAGAGGCTTGGAGGTGGGGTTGGCCTCCATCCATCTAGGCTGTTTTGATTCCCCACACAAAGGAGCCTAGAGGGCCCAGGAGCAGGTCTGGGCAGGTTCCTCCACACTGCTCACAATGAGCTACTGGCCAGCTACTACCAGAGACAGCCAAATCTGGAGGCACCCCATTCCCCCTTTCCCCCACAGCCCCACTTCCGTCCTCACCCAACCCCTTACTTGTTTACGTGAGACTCCACATACGTGAAGAACACGGCCAGTATCACTAGCTGTGTGTCCTTGGAGGAATTACTCAACCTCTCTGAACCTCCCTATTATGTATACTGAAAACCAGTCATTTAAAGGGGTGAGACAAATATCAATAAGAGCTTTGTTATGCTTGGAGCTGGTGGCTCACTCCTGTAATCCTAGCTATCCAGGAGCATGAGATCTGAGAGCCATGGTTCAAACGCAGTCCAGATAGCAAAGTCTGTGAGACTCTTACCTCCAATTAAATCACTAAAAAAAGCCAGAAGTGAAGCTGGGGCTCAAGTAGTAGAACACTAGCCTTGAGCAAACCAACTAAATAGGAACACTCAGGCCCTGAGTTCAAGTCCCAGTACTAGCACGAAAGGAAAGAAAAATAGCTTTTTTTTTTTTTCTTTTTTTGCCCATCCTAGGGTTTGAACTCAGGGCGTGAGCGCCATCCCTGAGCAGCCACAGCTCCACTTCTGGCTTAACTGGAGGAAGAGTCTCATAGACTTTCCTACCCAGGCTGGTTTTGAACCCCAGTCCTCAGAGCTCACCTTCCTGAGCAGCTAGGATTACAGGCGGGAGCCACAGGTACCTGGCCAGCCTTGTTGTTTGATTCCTGGGCGCATCCCACTTTGGACATCTCTCTGAAGCTATCATCCCTGCCACGGATATTTGATCAAATACACACCCTTTACACCTGGGGCTGTAGTTGCCAGTTGTTCGTTGCAGTCTCCCAGCTCAGCTCTGTGCGACCGGCGACCGCTCTCCGACCTCTGCCCTCCCGTGGTCAGGGCCTGCCCTTTCTTACCTCTAGGTATCAATTTCCAGGCTCATTGTTTGTACTCCTAGCTGCCTCTCCCTCACTCATCCTCCGGGCTTCTGGGACTTCAGTCAGCACTTCGAAGCTCTTCCAGTGTTCCTGTGTATTTTGCTTATGCAACCCGCTTTATTGAACATCTGCTCTGTGCCAGGCATTCTGGCTTGCTGACCTCAGCCTCTGCCAGTGGTGGGCAATGCTACTTGGCGATCAGGCCTCTCTCTGACCCTGCAATCCAGCCATAGCAGCCCCTCCCTGTGTTTGTGTTGACTGCCTGTATTAGTCAGGATAAGTAATGCCAGTGGCTACAACAAACATCCCCGGTGTCTCAGCGTCACAGTGCAGTATGGATCAGATGACCCTTCTCTGAGTGGTGACAGGGTGATCGGGCCCTATCCATCTTGGGGTAACCCCATCTCTAATCCACACAGCAGGGGAAGGAAGAGCGGGGGAAGCTCCCCTGCCCCCTCCCAGCTCATCCACATGCAGCTGTGGAAACAGAGCCTTCCTGTATGCCAGGGGGCAGGGGCAGGATGGTGGCAAAGCCTGCATCTCTCTGGCAGCGCGGAGGACTTGCTGAGGGCCAGGACCCTGCCCACGCCTTCCTCCTGCTTCCAGGAGGCCCCGCTATAACTGCCCATCTGTTCCCACACACACACCTGCATTCGCCCGGCCATCCATGTGTGCGGCCGGAGAACAGGCTGCCTGGAGCAGAGGGACGGGCTCCTGGCAGAGTCATCCTAGCCGCTCGGGAGGCGGAGATCCGAGGATCACAGCTCAACGCCAGCCGGGGCAGGAAAGGCTGTGAGACTCAATTAACCACCAAGAAAAAGGCAGACGTGGAGCTGTGGCTCAAGTGGTAAAGTGCCAGCCTTGAGTGAATAAGAGAATGAGCTAAGGCACAGCACCGAGGGCTTGAACTCAGACAGACAGAGAGACAGACAGACAGACAGACAGACAGACGGAGAGAATATGCAAATCTTCCCTGTTTGGGGTCCTCTGGTGCCTCACAGTGCCTGGCAACACCGTGGTGTTTGGCAGACATTCATGAATAAAGAAACACACAAACACATGGAGACTGAGAAATGAAGGGATCTGAGACATTAGGGGGGTGCTGTGGTTTTAACTCGGGCCTGGGCACTTACTGGCAGACCTGCCTGGACAGCAAGCCTCCTATCTGTGGCCAGGACGGCAGGTGTGCATCACCGTACCTAGCTATTGATTGAGATTGAGTCTTGCATACTTTTTTTTTTTTTTGGCCCATGCTATTCTAGAACTGAGAACCCCTAACCTCTGCCTCCTAAGTAGGCAGGATTACAGGAATGATTCATTATGGCCAGCAAAGGTTTTGTTTTTTGTTTGCTGTGTGTTTAAATGATGAAGAAAACATGGTCTGAACTCAAGTTCCGCAAGCCCTTCCCGAAGGACCTTTAGGGGAGGTGATACTGTCTACCAAGGCCCAACAACTGGCTGAGCTTGGCCGCCCAGGCCATGGCTGGACAGGGCAGATGATGCAATGTGGGATTTGCCCTGCGGGGTCCTGCGGAGCTCGCCTTCCTGGGACAGCAGCATGACCCTTCTCCCTGTGATTCACAGCTTTATGAGCTAGGATTCATGGGGTTAATTACTGTTGTGGCTGGGCTCGGGTAGGCCTGAGCCTGCCCTGGCCTAGGGGATGGGGGTGGGTGGGGGGAAGCCAGGACCCTGGGAGGCGTGGAGGGCTGGTACAAAGCTAGGAAGGACACACGAGTGCGGAGGTACCTCCAGCCAGCAGGTGAACCGTTTCTATGCACTAAGCCAGGCTGCCGGGGTCTCAATCCCTTCCTTATCTGCTCCCGCTTGCCCCCCCTCCCAACTCACCAAAGGCCCAATGAGGCAGCAGCTCCCCAGGCAACTGCATTATTCACAGGGGTGTGGCTAGGAGAGCCCAGAGCTGGTGGCCCAGCCTGTGGCTCTCAGATCGCAGCTGGCTGAGAGGGGGCTGGCACTCTGGGACACTCTGCGGCCCCAGCAGCGCAGGGGCATCCCAGTGTCCTCCAAGGACCGTCCACCTCCGGCTGGCACGGCTGCCCTCAGCCCCCAGCCGGCCTCTCCAGGCTGTAACATTCTGCAGGGGCCAAGCCAGGTGAGTGATGGCCGGAGGGGCCATGGTGGGGAGAGGGGGGAGAAGGGGGGAGGGAAGGGGCAGGGTTGGAGCTGGCGGGGCTCTGCTTGAGGCTTCATGCCTGCCCTCTCCACTTTGCAAAGAAGGAAACTGAGACTGAGGGTACATCTCCAAGTTAGGATCCTGAAATCCAGCGTTAGAAGCCAGGCGCTGGTGGCTCGCTGGGTGTAA